TTTTTCTTATCTGTGTTCTTGGCTCCGGGCACTTTGCAGTTCAGTGGAAGGCCCCGTTCCTGGTGTGTCACGTCCACTGCAGGGTCAGCTCAGGGTCACCCCTGCCAGGAGGCTGGCCTGCCGTTTAGGTGACTTAGCTCTCCCTCCCCTTGTCCCATGACTCCTCATGTGTACTTCTCCTTATGTAGTGTATTGTGATTCTTTCTACACTTCTGTGCTAGACCGAGAACTTCCTAAGGGAAGAAAATGTTTTATAAAAATTCAAATTGCATTTCAGAATTTAATTTTAACAAATCAAATTCTTTAAGGGCTTAGCTTTCTAATTTATAAAGGGGGTGGAAGCAGAGAAACCAGTCAGGGAGGCTCTCCCATTAGTCTGGGTTAGAGGTGATCATGTTGGAACCTGGACAATAGAGGTTGTGAGGAGTGGTTCGACTTGGGATACAGTTTGCAGGTGTAAGTGTCCCAAGAGCTCCTACCAAGGATGAAGTGTCTCTCAGAGCTTACAAGTTAAATAGATTACGTTGTGCTGCGTGTCATTTATTTACTTCTGAAAAAATGGTTAAAGCTATGAAAAATCTTGAAATTGACATTGAAGTTAAGCGGTTAATTCTTGGAAGAAAGATGTGGGTAAGAACATTACAGAAATCTTGAGATTAATTCTTTAAACTTTAAATTCTTCAAATATACTCTAGAAATGTTGTATTTCACAGTTTGGCTTTGCTGTCTAAAAATCTCACAAACTTAAGTGTGGTCATGTATGTTAAAGAGTGGAAATATACTTTATTTAAATTATTTCATGTATGCGACTTTCCTTTTTTGCCACTGAATTCTCCATGAAATTTTATTTACTGTCTCTATTTGATTAGTGATCTGAGCTTACTTGCTTTTCACTTGCATTTCAGGAGAACGACAGAAAGTCCTGAACTGGCTGTTGTCATATAATCCTTTGCGGCTACAAATCAGCCTAAAGGTAAGTCACCATTTGACTTTTGAAAAAAAAGATAATTTTTTTAGTATATACTTTTAATAGATTCTTTAATAAAATATGGTTTCACTTATAAAGACATTTGGTTAGCTTAATTGACCTCTCAGTATGAAATTTAAAGTCCTTTAATAAATGTTCATTGGGTTAATAGACCCTGTCATTATATATTATTGCCATTTTGTTATATAGTAATTTTCCTGTTAGTTTCTTAAATATATAAGATGTGGTACTAGATGTAACAACAAGTATAATAAACTCCTTTCTGAGCATTTACAAATGACAATACTAGAATGTTTTAAATACATTTTCTAGTTTAAATTTTTATAAAACCCAGTGAGGTATGTATTATTATTTCTACTTCACTGACGAAACAGAAGCTCAGATGTTAAGTGAATCGCTGAATGACAATCACTGGTCGGGACTGGAATCTACAGCAATCTGATGCCATTGGAACCATTTTGATGGAACATTGCTCATAAAAAGTTCATCGGAATTTGAGTTTTTCACATGGTGCATGGTTCAATAATATTTAGAATGTTAAAACGAACTGAATTAGAAAACCACTCGGGGGACTTCCCTGGTGGTTCAGTGGTAAGGAGTCCTCCCTGCAATGCAGGGGACGTGGATTCCATCCCTGGTCAGGCCACTAAGATCCCACATGCCACAAGGCAACTAAGCACGCGTGCCACAACTACTGAGCTCACGCGCCTCAACAAGAGGGCCTGCGTGCTGCAAACTACAGAGCCCACATGCCCTGGAGGCTGCGCACCACAACTAGAGAAGAGAAAACCCGCATGCCACAACTAGAGAGAAGCCCGCGCACCGCAATGAAGAGATCCCGCGTGCCACAACTAAGACCCAAAGCAGCCAAAAATAAATAAGTAATAAATGAATAAAAATATATTTCAAAAAAGAAAACCGGGGACTTCCCTGGTGGCACAGTGGTTGGGAGTCTGCCTGCCGATGCAGGGGACACGGGTTCGTGCCCCGGTCCGGGAGGATCCCACATGCCGCAAAGCGGCTGAGCCTGCGCGTCTGGAGCCAGTGCTCCGCAGTGAGAGCCCCGCGTACAGCAAAAAAAAAAAAAAGAAAGAAAGAAAACCACTAGGAGTTGACTGTTTTAAAAAATTAATCTTTTATTAAAATCCTCAATGTTTTCATTTCCTTTAGTCTTTAACTGGTGCATTCTTCTATTTTCTTTAGTTTTTTTTTTTTACCATTGTCATGTCGGAAAATCTGATGGTCCTCAGAGAGATGCATGCCCTCAGGATTCTGCAGCAGGATGGGCACAAAACCCAGGGTGTACCTGTGGTAGCCAAGTCTGTATATCAAAGAATACTGCTTGTTGGTTTTTCCTTTAAATAGTTGCTATGCTTAACTTGTATGGTTTGTTTGTTGGTGTATTCTCCATTACTGAACTTTAGCTGTGACTTTACATTTTGTTCAGGCAGTTAAATTTTATTTAAAAATGATTAATTGATTTTAGCTTATTAACAAAAAGATTTAATTGATTTTGATGAACTAGATTAACTCATGATGTTAATTTTCTTCCTTCCCTCTCCCTCCCTCCCTCCCTCTCTCTCCCTCTTTCCCTACTTCCTTTCTACAACTCATCAGTTCTCTACTTAGTGCAAATCCAACAGTGTTGACAGTGACCTATTTCTTGGCCTGGGTTATATAGCAGTTAGCTTTATAATTACTCATAATTATACAATGTGTAATAGTTGTAAATTGGTTTTGTGCCTGCATGTTTCACAGTATAAGGTAAAAATAGTCTACTTGCATGAAATTTATTAGTGGGAACCATCACTACATATGATTTTTATTTAAGGACTGCGTACATTTTAATACTAATTATCTTGTAAAAACTATTAACATATGAATGAATAGGTTCTTTTTTTTTTTCTTTTGACATAAGCAAGTTTTCTGAGGTAAAACTCCCAACAGTATAAATGTACCCTTTATTTAGGTATGCAATTCAATGAGTTTTGACAAACGTATACAATTGTGAAACCACTACCACTGAGATAAAATATTTCTGTCACAACAAAGTTCCCTTGTGCCCCCTTGCAGTCACTTCTCTCCCATTAACCCCTAGGTTCTGGAACCTGCTGATGTGAGTTCAGTGCCTTTAGTTTTGCCTTTTCTGCTTTGTCCCATAAATGGAATCACACAGAGGTAGCTCCTTGTGACGGGACTCTTTTACTTAGCGTAATGCTCGAGGTTCATCCATGTCGATGCATGGCTTAGATTGCATCCCTTTCTTCACAGACTGCTGTTCCACGGTAGGGGGATATATACCCGCTCTGTTTGACCACCCCCCAATTCATAGATGTTCGGCATTTTCACTGGAAAGAACAGGAAGATGGAAGTGCATATAGTGGTAGGGATTCATGTGAGGAAGGTGGCTGTGATGCCGTTTCCTCAGTGAAGAAGGAGATCATAAACATTAGCTCAGAAGCAGATGGGGGACGGTGTGGAGGGGACATTTGGAAAGAAGAAAACAGTCACCTTGGGGAAAGAGAAAGGAAGCAATTTCTAGGTAATTTCAATCATGGGCATAAAATCAGCCAGCCTGGTTGTGCAGGTTTTCTTTAGCAACGTCCAGCTGTGCAGGAATGGAGAAGGCAGATAACCTGGATTCAACTTGGAATCCACATAGAGCTTTCCAGTTGCATTCAATAGGGAAGAGCACCAATGGCGTTAACGGCATTTGCAATGGAGATTATACTGAGGGACCCAAGCTAGACGGGAGGGAAAGGAGACCAGCATTGTGCTGGGTGACAGGCACGTGCTGAGGTCCCCTGAAGTGGACACCACAGTGGGAGGAAGCTGTGAGCCGTGGAAGTATTAAGTCAAAGGGCGTGGATGAACCCCAAGAGGTGGTTCGGGCTGGAAGGCTCAGGCTGAGCAGTCAGTCGGTGGCCGGGCACTTTCTGAGGGTGACAGCGGCTGTCTTGTGATTGTGTGACGGGGGGTGTGCTGAGTGGACCCAAAGGAAAGGGGGCAGAAACGGAGAGGTGAGGGGTCGGCTCTTTAGCTACAAGGCTGCTGAAGTTCTGAGATGGGGCAGGAGTTGAGGGAAGACCAGGAACCAGGTTTACAGACAAAACGCTGGGGTTTGGTAGCTGAATAGCCTGAGCTTCAAAGGAGCCAGGATCATCCTTCAGCGAAGATGGAGAGAAATAGTCTAAAGTCGTAAACGGCCATAACATGAAGCCTCCCACCTGCGTGAGGGCCTGTGAGGGAGGTGATGCGTCCAGGAGGGACCACATTTCAGTTAAGACAAAGCGATGGATGTGAGTCTTCTAAGAGAGGAACTGGGTTAATGCAAGGTTTTTATTCTTCTCACAGACTTAAACCGGATTGGGTGTTGAGAAGAGATAACTTGGAAGAAATCATGAATCCTCTGAAAGCTATTCAAATGGTGATGGACACACTTGGCATTCCTTATTAGCAAAGGCAAATATCTCAGTATGTACAGGAAAAGAAATAGGAAAGCTGATCACATGTATGGAAAGTGCTTTTTGCTTTCCTTGTACAATTTTTAAAACCTGACTTTGTGTTAAAGTTAAAAAGGTATATGTAACAAACAAACTTTTTCTATTCTTCGTTTCTTTTATCTAAAATTTAAAATTCTTTTTAAAATTCTTTTTAAAATCTTTGCTGATTAAGAAAATACTGTCTTTTGGATTGCTTGTTGCTAGTAGCTAGGCTTCCTAACAGGCTTCCTTTTAATTTTTATATTGTTCACTCAGTCCAGAAAGAGTGATAATCTATTATAGTTCTACTTTCACCAAAAACGGAGAATTCCGGGCTTCCCTGGTGGCGCAGTGGTTGAGAGTCCGACTGCCGATGCAGGGGACACGGGTTCGTGCCCCGGTCCGGGAAGATCCCACATGCCGCAGAGCGGCTGGGCCCGTTAGCCATGGCCGCTGAGCCTGCGCATCCGGAGCCTGTGCTCCGCAACGGGAGAGGCCACAACAGTGAAAGGCCCGCATACCGCAAAAAAAAAAAAAGGAGAATTCCGATGGAAATATTTTGCTTATAGCTTCTTTATCAGAGGTAAATATAATGCAGATAAATATTTACTTACAATTTTCATTTGAGGGCATGTGCATTTGTTGGTATGTGTAAAAAATTCCAACCTATATAAAGGAAGAAGGAAATAGTCCAAAAACCTGCTTATTTCTAGGAATACTTAAGGGGGGTCTACATAAAGCAGTGCTTCTGCATCTTGCATAAATTATGGACCCTTTTTTTCTCCAATTATACAGAAACCTATTTCAGAAACCAGTCTTAGAGAGTAGAGTTTTATTCTATGAATAATATTCCATTATTACTGCCGATAACTTTTGTATTTGGAATAGTGATGGTTTATTTTGAATTATCTAAATGAGACCAAAATGAAACTTGATCTAAACTTTGCCCTTGCTTTGCCAAAGCATCATTAATTTTCATACCTGCTGAACATTGTTGGAGTATTAGAAACAGGCTCTTCCTGCCGTCAGTAATTGTGATGGATCTTAATTGAGGTACATTTGAAGAACAGTCCGGTGACATTTGTATTCACCTTAACAACGTTATTAAAGACATAGGTTACTCAGTGTCTTCCTTCTACTGTTACTCTCTCTCTCTGAGGCTGTCTGGGTTCCATGGCCACTTTCCTACAAGATCTTTCAATTCCATGTGTGTTCCTATCTGCTCTAAAATAAGTGCTGACCTACTGGACAGGTAGCAGTGATCTGCTTCCCTCACACCCAGGCAGTTTTCGAGTGAAACTCCATCCTGATTTGTAGCCTCACTGTCAGCGTGCAGGTGTTTGCTCTTCAGCAACTTCTGTGCTCCACGTTTAGAGATGCTGTTTACGTCAGCGGTTTGAAGTATCCCGTTGTATGCCTTGCTCAAGGCTTAGAATGTACACTTAAAAATTCTGCATTTCTTTGTAAATTTCATGGCAAAAGAATCTTTAAAATTACTGGGTTAAGGATATATTTGCTTTAGTTTTTAGAGGAGCACACACAAATACCTACCACTTACTTTGAAATGCGTCAAAAAAGGACAGATGGATAGATGAATAAGTACATGATTTTAAAAAATATAATAAAATGTGAACGGTAGAATCCAGGGAGAGGTTATGTTTGAAAATTTTCAAATTAAAAAATAATCTTTGAAAATAAGCAGAGGCCATCTTATATTCCTTAACTGGAAGTCACCCAAATGTCCATGAAGAGTAGAATGGGTGGGTAATTCGCGCCATATTAGCAGAGTGGAAAACTGCAGGGAAGGAGTTATCTTCTACAGCCCAAGACCAGAACGAATCTCACAAGCAAAATGTTAAACAAAAGAAGCCAGATATTTAAAAAAAAAAAAAAAAAAACTCTAGGATTTCATTTATGTAGAATAAAACCAGGCAAAATTGACCTATGCTGTCAGAAGCCAAGATTGTATTTATACTGGGAGTAGACCTTGCCAATGACCCGGAGCGGGGACTCTGGGAACTAGTGTATCCTCTTGTTCTGGGTGCTGGTTCACAGATGTGTTCAGTTAGTGAGAATCCATTGATCTGTGCACTAATTGTACATGCACTTTTCTCTTAATATGTTGCATTTTAATAAAAAGTTCCTGAACTGAAATAATAATAGTTCCCACCTCACAGTATTATTTTGTAGTTTAAACTAAAACCCATTAGAATGTAAACTCCATGAGGACAGTCATTGGAATCTATTTTTTCACTACTATAAACCCAAGACTAGAGCATGTCCTGGTATAGACCAGATAGTCGAAGCATTTTTCATGAATGATAATTCAGCACAGTGCTTCTCTAATCACCTGCCACAGCATACAACCTCTCGCAACATTAGACTTTACAATCAATAACATTATTCTATCACTGCTCGAGACAATTAAGGCCACTTTTCCCTTTAGCAGTGCAGTCTAGACAACACTGTTTTCACATCAGGGATCCATTAATTCATGTACCTAAGTTCATCCCTTCATTTGATCTACAGTGGTAAAGAAATCAATGGCCACCAATGAACTTTACTCCATGGACTTACATTGGGAAATTAACATTGAAAATTTACCCTGTTTTTTATGCAGCCTGAGTTAATTATTTTGCTGCTGTTATCGTTGCCCTCATCGGTGGTCATGTTCTTATTGGACTGTGGTGTGAAAAGTACTGTCAATTAATGTAGTTGTGTATTTTTAGTATTATTCTGAACTGTTTTAAATCAAATATATGGCTTGTTACAAAGGGACTTAGATGTTGTAAATAATTAACTTTTTTCAGGAGACGTATTGTGTACTTAATGAGGAGTCCCTAGTACTTTAGAATGGTTAAACCCTTTATTAAGCACACCATAGAAGATGAGGTCGAAAGGCTTGGCTCTGATTATCATATTAATCATCTCAGGAGAACTCAGTGCAGAAGGTAAAGTTAACTTTAAATATTCTTTATTCTTTAATAATTATAAAGGGAAATTCTAACATTATTTCTCTTGAGCTTTTAATATAGTCTTTCATTTTTATGTACCAATTTTATAAAAAAGATACTTATAAATATAATTTGTTATAATATTTAGACAGACATTTTCCTTTGAGAAAAACTACTAAACTATTCTTAGAGTAACATAGCTTAGAAAACCAAAACAAGACAAAAAAAAAAAAACCTTTTACATCTTTAGTTTTGAGGGTATAGGAGACCAGGATCTAAAGACTTCAAAGTGTTTTCAGGCTAACAGGCTAACGGTACCACCATTTGAAGCTGTAAGTTAACCTTAATTCTAATTTCAGAACAGAATTCATTCCTAACGCTGCACAGCTTGTACAATTTTAATTCTTTGCTCTTAAAGAGAGAGCTTTCATGTGGGAAATTTTAAAAAGAACCATAAATCATCAGCAAGATCTTTGACTGTTGACACCTTGATTTTTATCCTAATTTTTATTCTTTGGTTGAAGACAGTAAGTAATGATTAGTAGGAGGACCATATGATTGTTTATGTAAATGAGGACATGCCTCAGGGTGAAAGCAGGTTTTATTAATACTCAAATGGGACAACAGGGGTAAATCAGTACTGTCCAGACAAGCAATACCTGTGGACTCCCTAACTGTTAGAAATCTTTCTACCCAGACTGCCTCATGTGTGAGGTGAATGTGAGTGTGCAAGTGTGGGTTATTTAGGAAGAGTTAACGATGTTCTTGGGCTGTAGGGATAAGAAGCCAGGCAAGTCATTAAGTATCAGCAAGAGTAGTAGACAAAGTAGGAAACCACAGCCATAAGCCTCTTTTAAAACACCTTAGGAAATTTCTTGAAATAAAATATCCGACAGATTATATATAATTGCCTTAGTTGAATAGTTTACTACAAATTTTCTGCCAGAAGAGGCTCTGCAATTAAAATTATGAAAGTGAAATTAATAGAATTCATCTTACACATTTAATTCTACAATAAGATAATTTTTGCGTGAAGTTTCCTTTTATTTTTCTGTCTAAGTAGGGAAAAAACAGCTGATATAATTGTCTATTATCTATACCATGAAAACACTGCAATATTCTAGCTAATTTTCTAATTATTGTGTAATTATAATCTTCTTTCACACAAACAAAGAAATGTCAGCTGCCTGAAGACAGGGACCATGACCTCATATTCCCATGCTTCCCCCACCCCCATCCGGAATCTTGGGGGCAAGATCAAGTTAACTATGCTCCTCATTTCATGTGACCATCACTGGCCTATGAGAAGTGTCACTTTTGTTTTATTTATACATTTTCCCTCTTCATTCCTGACCCTGAATTACATTTCCCATTCAACCAAACTGTTGAAAACCCAACTGTTGAAAACCCAACTGTTGGTACGCACTATAATGTTTGATATATCCTTAAATATGCAAATATCTTTGTAAACTATGTCTGGTTTTGTGTGTTTTATATTCATATAAATGTAAGCTTGCCATAGATTTTATCTCCTTATTGTTTCATTTTACTTGCTACTGTTTAAACGTATTTCCTTGTTGCTGAATCTAGTTTGTTGCCCTTTAGTGCTACCTACCTTCATATATTTACTTATCCACTCTCCTAAGGATGGACACATAGTTTCCTCCTAACCTCAAGTAACTCTGAAATGAGTGCTTTCATGTAATCACCTTATTTCTCTGTGACGATTTCTCTTGCCTGTATATATCCCCCATGTGGGGCTATGGGCTCAATTCCTTTTCTTTGTTTCCTGATTTATAACAGATTAGCATTTCCCTCTGCTTTCTGCCTTTTAAAGAGCTGATTTGTGGGAGCTCTTTGCAGACGATACATTTTAACTTCTTGTCACTTTTAGACATTGCAAATTCCTTCTTCCAAAATGTGATGTGTGTGTTTTGTCAACAATACTTTTCATGGAAAGACATTCTCAATTTTCATATAATCAGATTCATGAAATTTTGCCTATAGTTTCTGCTAGTTCTAAAGAGTCTTCTTTGTAAATCCCTGGTGGTATGGGTGTGGAAAATTATGAGAATCCTCAGGGGACGGGACCTCCCCTGCGCATGTTTTTATCTGCTCCTTCCTTCCATCAGACTCTGGAAAGTTTCTTTTACTCATAATTCCTTGCCCACTTCCCTCAGCCCTGGGAGGGCACTGCTATTATTTTATGTCTCAGGGTAGCAAGAGGGTTGACTGTCGTCCCCAAGGCATTGAAGGCAAAATAATCCCATCCGCCTGGGTCTTCTACACACCTGCCACTTCCTCCCAACACAAACCCTAGGGGCTGCTCAATAACTGCTTTCTTTTAAGTGTATTTATGATTTTAAAGTCTCCAACATAAGGACAGATTTTTAAAAATAAATGTTTTCTTTGGAGTATAATGTATGCAGAAAAATGCAAAAAATCATAGGATGCCCCTCTATAAATGTTTACTAAATTTTACTGCACCCGGATCAACATAGAACATTGATTGGCACTCAGAAGCCTCCTAAGTGTCCCTTTTTTTTGCGGTACATGGGCCTCTCACTGTTGTGGCCTCTCCCGTTGCGGAGCACAGGCTCCGGACGCGCAGGCTTAGCGGCCATGGCTCACGGGCCCAGCTGCTCCGCGGCGTGTGGGATCTTCCCGGACTGGGGCACGAACCCTTGTCCCCTGCCTCGGCAGGCGGACTCTCAACCACTGCGCCACCAGGGGAGCCCCCTAAATGTCCCTTTTTAAAGGACTAAACCTCAGGTAACCATCCTGACTTCTCTGACCATGGATTATCTGGCACGAGGGTGACGTGCCAGAGGTGGGTGGAAGAGGCTTCCAAAGGAATGCTCTCCAGAGCCATCCTGGAACAGGAGCCAGTGCTGCCAAACTCCAACTCCCCAGAGACAAAGGAGGAGCCTTCACCCACCCCCTGAGCTTGAACACATCCCCAGAAAAAGCACAGGAGCCCCAGTAGAGCTGTGGGACTGGCCTGGGCCACCAGCTTCCCTGTGGCACCCTCTTCTCCATCCTCCTCTCCCCCGTGGCACCTTCCTCTCCATCCTCCTCTCCCCCGTGGCACCCTCCTCTCCATCCTCCTCTCCCCCGTGGCACCCTCCTCCCATCCTCTTCTTCCCTGTGGCACCCTCCTCCCATCCTCCTCTTCCCCGTGGCACC